CAGGTGTAAGTTTCCCGTGCACGCCAGCTTGATGGTTTAGGATGTGAAAATGTTGTTTGTTGTGACTCCGTCGTGTTTACACTGACATCATTATGATTTCTCCACAGCGGTGCCCTTCTCTGTGATCAGCATGGCTATTACCCAAGCCCTAGTGACCAGAGGTAATGTTGTTCATACTGTGGAGCAGGGGTGTCAAACTCATTTTACACAGTGGGCCACATTCAGAGCAATCCAATCTGGTTTTCAATAGGACAGATCAGTCAAACGTATTACAAAGTGTTCCTCTTTCTTTCACTCTGAAGACGTAAGAGAAGTCTTATGAGAACAATTTATAAAGAAAATATGTGGGAGTGAATCAGCGTGTCACTTTGGTCTTAAATGTTTAGAAAGAAATGTAACTTTGTTTTTTATTTTACAGATAAATTTGATCGAATTTTACCAGAAAACATTGATTTCTAAAAAACATAGTGAAAAACTTGAACTTCTGCTAATTAATGGAGTATTAACAATAATTTAAAAAAAAATCTATAATTATAGATACTTTACTAATTCCACACTGTGTAAATTCCCTTGTTACAAGGGTCAGAAAGAAAAAGTAAATTAGACATTATATTTATACACAAGTATTTTTAGATGGTGTTTTTTCTGTGTCTACATTGTACACTCTGACTGCTGTTGGGATGAAGGACTTGCGATAGTGCTCGTTCCTACACAGTGTCTGTAACAGTCTACTGCTGAAGGACCTGCTCAGGGCATCCACAGTCTCATGCAGGGGGTAAGAGACTGTGGATGTGGACCATGCTAATGTCCATAATGAACATTAGCATGGTTAACATCCTGCTCTCACCCACCTCCTCTATGGAGTCTTGGGGACTGGCAAGGACAGAGCTGTTGATGGGTTGCTGATATTTCTGTTTGTAAGATGGCTCTAAAACTGACAGAAAGCACAGTGAAATGTTGAAATTTATGCTCTCCTTTGTAATTTTCACATTTTCTAAAGCATCCAGAGGGACGAGATCATTCTGGCCCCAGGGCCATGTGTTTAACATCCCTGCTGTACTGGAATCGGCACAATATCAGTTAAATGAACATTGTCACATGTTGATACTCAAGTTGACATGAATGTGTTAAATTTGCAGGGGCTCTGTCTGCATCTCCAAGATTTGGATCTTTACCCAAAGTTGCCTGTAAGTTTATAAGTGTTAAATATGTGGGATACACACATACACACACTTGCCCTGTATTTACTGAGTAGAATAAGAAAAACCTCTCTGTTAAACTCAGTTTGTGTTGTTTTCTCATTTCTTTTTTTTTGACTGTGTTTGACCCTACAGTTGCTGGTTTCTGTGGCTACCTGGCTGGAAAACTGTCATATATGAAAACATGTCAGGAAAAATTCAAGAGGCTGGAGAACTCTCCTCTTGGCGAGATTATCAGACAGAAGTCAGGCCTGCCTCCACTGAAGTGAGTATCACATACACTTAATTAAATGCTGGCCTGTTGAGATTAACTGTCAGCAGCATTGCCTTTAGCATTTTGTCCCCTTCTTTACAGATCCCAGGGTCCTCAGTCAGAGTTGGGTGACCCAGACTCTCAGTCTTTTGAACCCATATTCCAGCCTGCAGAAGCCTCGAGCCACACCTACAGCAAAGATTATGGATATGGCTACAGTCCAGACCCACCAGCACAGATGGACAGAGGAGATGACTTTACTGCTCCAGGTATTCCAAACGGGCAATATGTGGGTTATTCACAATTGAGTTCTCCACAGTAGCTCACCAAAAGAAAGTCCTGGGGCCAAAGCTTCCTGTTCTCTTTTTTTGCAAGGAGTTTGCGGCTCCCACTAGCCGTCTTCAGTTAATTTTCCACGAGTGTTAATATTGTATTGATAAAGTGCTCTCTGAATTTTGCTTGCAGCAAGAATAGAAAAGTGCTACCAGTGAAAAGGAAAGACCTTTTCTATCCTTTTCACTTGTTACAGTTAGGTGGTCATCAAAGTCCAGCATTTACTAGTTTTTCTTGTTCGGCATACATCTGAAATTACTTTTTTTTAAAAACAAAACAAAACAAGAGTTGGTTGCACAAATTTGAATTTACTTTGGATGTTCTCTAATCCACACAGGCTCAAAAATAGATGCACATATCTCCCTTGATATTTTGTTATATGTCCCTTAGCAAGTTGCACCTTAGCCATATGCTTCTGGTAGTCATCAACAAGCTTCTGGCATAGTGCTGGCTGAATTTCTTGGTTAATTTAAATCTGTTGATTTTGTGGTACAGGTCTGACTTTTTAAGAATACTCCAAAAATTTTTAATAGACTTTAAGGTCTAAGCTTTCTGAAGGCAACTCCAGCTTAATAGCAACCTGCTTTATCTATAGCAAAGTCAGTTTTAAAGTACTGAGATCATTGTCCTGTTTGAACACTCAGTTGTGTCCAAGTTTCAATCGTTCGTCTGCTGATTTTAGGTGAATTTGAAGAATTAGGAAGTAGCTGCGTCCAGATGAACAAAATCAACTTTTTTGAGATTTCAGATTTCCTTACGTGGATTATTGAGCATGCATTAAGACGTGGCCCTTCTTCATTATTCTTTCCACTTTGTATAATGTACCACTGGCACCAAAACAGCTGCAGATCATAAACTACCACCCCCATGCTTGATGATACAGTGTTCTTGGGTTTAAAAGTCTCCCCTTCACACCTCCAAACATACCTCTTTGCAAAATACTATTTTTAATTTTTAATCCTCTCATTCTAAAAAGTAATCAGTGTATAAAGCATCAAACTACTTTTTTGCAATTGTTATATTGTAACTTGTATTCTTACTGAGATTAAACATGTAAGTTGCAAAAGGTGTCCACTGAATTCACAGACTGAGTTAATTTAATCATCCAAACATTTCAACAAAACTTTCCAGTAGAAATGAACTTTTTTTTTTTTTAAATCCCATCTTTTGCCCTGTAAATTTCAGTCCAGTCATATGTGGAAGAGGAGGAGCCCAAGAGGAAGTCTATCCTCTATGAGGACCTGAGGCTCAAAAACAGAGAGAACTATGAGGTCACACTCACTCAGAAAGCTGACGCATTGCTCAAAACACCACCTGCAAAAGAGCCAGAAAGACCCAAGAAAGATGGTAGGTGGTTACTGCTAAGGCATATATAGAACTTGATATATACTTTTTTTTCCCCTTCCTTGGCCAAACTAGATGGAAGATAACCAACATTATAGAACTTTATGTTTGTGTCTCTAAAGTGGTGTCTTACAGAGGTTCAAAGTTAGCTGTTAAAGGAGTTGCTTCATAGTCTATAATTCTGACAATGTCTGTAAGTTAGCATTAAATGACACAATAATTAAATTATAGCAACAGCTGAGAGAAAAAAAAATCTTATAGAATTCAAGGAAGTAAAATGTACAAAACCAAATGTCTGGAAGTCCATCAAAGAAGAAAACCTTATTTAGTCGTGGCAGCAGAATCTTATTCCTGTGATGCGCCTGCATCTATATCGTGAACAAGCAGAGGAGCAACTGGCATGGAAACAAATAGTAGGGAGGGAGAAATTTGACCTCATTACTGCCTTTTATTATAATTCAAGATGCAGTGTGGATTGCACCTTACAGGAGGACTAGGATAATTTCCTTAAAAAATGGTGGTGGATAGATAGAGGTCAATTTGCAAGTACAGCCTGTCTTTTAAGTAATTTGTAAAATAATTTGCATTTCTCCTTCTGTCTCTGCACAGTGAAGAAGAACATCTATGGAGACGCTTGGGAGGAATGAGTCCTTTGGTGAAAATAAGATGTGATCAGTATTCGAGTGTCACTGATTGTACAGGACACGGGCTTTTCAGTGGTCACTTTTCATGATGTACAAGATTATGATAATTTTGTCTTTTAAGTATTAATAAAACCAAACAGTTTCAGGTCTTGGTGCTCTGTGTTTTCACACTAATGTGACTTTATCAAAAAATTTTCTATTAACTAGGATAAAGGCAAAGGTTCAAAACAAAAAACCCTGGAGGTGCATTTGACTTGTTTGAACTTGCATCCAGAGTTTAAGACGCTTTCCTAACCTGCAGTTGTTACAATGATTTAAGCACTGTCGTAATTGCATCATGTTTAATACCATGGTGCAAGTACAACAGGGAGTTTAATAGTGAAAGAGAAACTTCTGTTTTACTCATCACAGAGGCCTTTAATTTAGGCGTAAATATGACAATTTAACTTGCAGAGAAATGGACCAAAACCACCAAGGAAACCACTCTCTAAACCTAATCAGTGAAATTTGTTTGGACTGTTTGTCTAGATGCAACACAGAAAGTGGAGTACATCCTGCTGACACCAAATTCAGATAATCAGAGAAAAAAAGAAAAATAGAAAGATACAATTTTTAGCAATTTTACTAGATCACCAACTAGCGTAAGGATTACGCAGCAGCTCCCATAAATTAATAGCACTGGCATAAAAATCATATTTGGTGTTATTTGGTTATTCCACCAGTATGTGCAAACATTTTAATCAAAATATATTTAATGCTAAAATATAGTTATCCATGAATTTTCAAATGTACTTTTACAAAAACTGGTAAAGCACATTATTGCTTTCTTGATGCCAAATTGCAATTATTTACATGCATTTCTTACCAGGAACATAAATAGTTGAATTTGGTGGTCTAATAAAATAAGTTTTTTAATACTACCATAAAAAGATTGGAATATTTTAAGAAATACTGGGAAAACATGACTGCTCCAACAACACTGCACACTGGTTATTAGTTATACTTGATTGTCATTTTTCTTAAGGGTTGACCATGCAGTTAATACAGCCCTATTAGGGTCTGTATTAACTGCATGGTCTGTATTGTTACTTCTGTGCATCAATTCTGGTTTCCAATTTGTAAGAAAGGGATTAGAAGGTTTTTATTTAATTTTTAATTAGTAGGAATAAAAATATAGAAAATTGGAATTTTTAAAAATGACAAGTCACCAGAAATATTTGAACTTTCAAAAAAAAAAAACTACAATTAATTATACAAGCAGGCAGAAACAATCAGTGCTGAGATGCTGCAGGATCTTATAGATGATAAAAACTGAGTAGCTTTTATAGGATAAGCCTTCATAAGTGGATCGTTGCCAAGGCAAACTCATCTGAAAACATCTACTCTTGTAACAGTGATCCTCCGCTCTTATGGCCATGGCTATGACCATGACTGTGACCGTGGCCATGGCTGTGACTGTGGTTGCAGCTGTGGTCGAAACTCTGTGGTGAAAAGTGTCCAGAGCTGTGTCCTGCAACATGTCCATGAAGACTAAGAGGTGGTGTGGGACTCGCCTGGTGTGGCCAGCCTTCATAAGTCATGGCAGCAGTGTTGGCAGTGGGTAATGGAGCATAAGCTTGCACTGGGTAAGACCCAGGTGTGGGATTGATCTGTGGAAGCAAGGTCTTCTTCCTGTCCTCAGAGGAAGCTGGGATGAACATATCACCACTGATGGTCCTGAACAGCCTAAAAGGCAACAACTTCTCCAGAACTCCAGCCTTGGCCTCAGACATGTCCAGAAAAGAGACCCATCCTTTACCATACATCACCCCAACCAGGATGGCAATCACATTACAGGGCAGCACACAGTAAGGGACCAGAGCAGTGGTGATGACAAGGAACACCCAAGGAAGGGCCATAGTGGGAAAACTCACTCCACATAGAAAGGCTTTAGTCATCTTTGTGTGCATGGTAGTTATAGCCACAGAGGCAAGAGTGACGGGAACCAAACCCTCAGTGTGACCCTGGAAGCCGTCCTCCTGCAGGAGATCCATGAAGCTGTAAAACAAGCCTATGATCGAGGACAGCAGGAGGAACAGAAAGAGGAAACGGACCGTCCCCACACCTTTCTCCAAGCTCCCGCTGAGAAACACCAAAGTTGTGATGTTCAGAAGAAGCTGAGCAAAGGTTCGGTGGTAAAAGGGAAACATCAGGATGCAGTATAGGTGTCCGTTTTGAAAAACACTTGCGCCGATGCTGAAGATGCCTTGTTTTAAGCTCAAACATGTTTGGATTGCAAATAAAACACACGATATGATGCTCACTGTGACAATCCCGCTGGTGAAAGCTGGAACAATATCTTTGATAATTTTGCAGATCATCTTAATATGCTCAGTGAGAGCCATTTTATCATCCAACTCAGGATATCCACGATTAATGAGCTAAATAGAAGTTGAGCAAGACTTGCTGAACTGCTTCATCGATGTCTTCACTTCCTAAAGAGGAAGAAGTGCCATTTCCGGGATGTTTCGAGCCGAAGGCTTCTGTAACCTTCTCAGGATGTTTCCTTTTTGATGGATAAAAATGGCGTGCAGTCTGTGATGCAATATATCGATAAAAAACACACCAAATTAACTTACTGTACAAACATCTAGCTAGGTATGAATCAGGGCGGCTAGCATGGGTAATAAGAAAACTTCTCGGTAAAACTTTCAAAATAAGTTTCCCTCTAATTTATTTTAGTAAAAACATGTATGTTCTAAGATTTAACCAACGACTATCAAGTCATATTTTGAAAAAGACTTTGCTCAGCTTCCGGTTTTAACTGCCCATCCTCTAGCTATCATTCACACCTCTGCGCCTTCTGCTCAAAGTGAAGAGATGCACTTTTTTCTTTACCACAAGTATTTGTACAAGTTTAAGATACTTGAATAATCTTCATATAACAACATACAAGACTCCTAAATAGTTGGGAGATTGAGTATGCATCAAGACACCATATTAGACTGTGAAACACCGACTGAAAAGCTCAATAGTTTATAAAGGTTTTTAAAATGACATAAAACTGCCAGTGATTAAATGCTACAGTCAATAATTATGAAAACTATAAATAATAATAACTCAGTTCAAAGAGCATGAAGGAAACTTAATGCAATACTTCAGTTCTCCCTTTGTTTTACTGAGCAAGTGAGACAAATATTTTTTGCCATTTGAACCTCTCACACGCATCAGTGCGTCAAATTGTGATAACTCAGATTTTTTAAATAAAATGTGCTGTGGAATATCAGTATCACTAGACAGCAGTAAATGTCATTCCACAGATAGATGCCTTCAAAAACATCTATCTATGGAATGACCTGGGATTTTTACAGATATCCATCTTCCTGGGTTAGTACATTGCAGAGAGCTGTAATTGAATACTTGTTTACAAATATTTCTCGAATTAGTTTTACATATTTTATATATTGTTATTTCATATAGTGGCCTTCGTTGTTTAACTGTGAATTGTGCTGTTCTTGGTGTTTTTCTGTACATCTGTACATTCCTCAATTACACCTCTATGAAAAGTGCATCCAAACAAAATGGATTGCTATCATATTTTATTTTATTTTATTTAACAAAAAGTACATATAAAAATTACACGCGACACCAAAGCCTTGTTTTGTGAATCGGCTTGTTAAAAAAAAAAGTCTGAAAAGAAGTCTGTCCCTCTTCCGGTGTCGTACGGTTACTGCGGCGGATGTTGATGTTTTGTTTCAGAGATCTCAGAACGATGTGAAACTGTATCGTCTCCGGGACTGCTCCGATATTTTTGTGGCCGTCTTCCCCGATACTTTTTGTCCTATTTCTCTGTAAGGTTTCGCTGTTTGTCGGCATCGTGTCTCTCCCGGTGTCTGTCCCGGGAAGCGCGAGGCCGAGTCGTGCGATGATGGAGGACTTTGATGAGATCTACGAAGAGGAGGAGGAGGAAGAGGAGGACGAGGACAGGGCCGCGGAAGAACAGCTCCTTAAGTACGCTCCGGACCCGGTAGTGGTGCGAGGGTCCGGTCACGTAACTGTGTAAGGAACTGACAGAGCTCACGGGGGTCTACAAAACAGTTTAACGTTACTGTAAAATGCGGCGGCTAACACAGCTTTCCGTGGGTAACCGGTGGCTAGCTGCGTTAGCTGCCGCTGTCTGGCTTAGCCTAGCTAGTTAGCTTCTAACTTAGCAGCAAGCTAACTAACCGAGAAGTGAATGATCGGGTCTAGCTACAGATAAATTTGACCTTTCTTGATATTTTTTTTATTGTAGCTATTGTCAAGTTGTGACAATGTGTTCCCATCACTGGTTTCATTTTTCTGAAGTTAATTACAGACTTCCAGAGCTGTTTATACCGATCATTACAACACAAGACAGTACTGTGTCCGTAAATAGGTATTCTCACAATTAAAGCTAGTAATAATTAACCTACCATATCTTCAGTAAAGAAATTGTATTCTTAAGTAGTTGACTGTACTGAGAGTAGAGCTTTTTTCCAAACAAGTATACGCTTAACTTGTTTTTTCCGCTTATCTTACCTTGTCTCTTCAAAAAAAAAGGAAGAGTATCAAGCGTACAAATACTAAGAATAAAGACGGGAAAGGGATAAAGGTTGCAGTTTGTTAAAGTTTTGTGCCTTGAATGGATAAATATACCTCCGTATTTCAGCCAATTTACATTTGTGGATTTAAAAGTTGGGTTTTTGGTTGTTGTTTTTTTATATGTCCAGTTCAGTTGGGTGGAAATGAGCTTACAGTTGAGTTAAGATAAGATAAGATAAGATAACCTTTATTAGTCCCACACGTGGGAAATTTGTTACCTCCAAACATAAATCTGTGTCCTTACTGTTTTTGGGAGTTTAACCTACTGGTACTGTTTCTTTAATTTAACAGTGCCTCACATTCATTCTCACAGTGTTTTACACTACGCTGCTCTTTGCGTTGAATATTAGATTTGTTTGTGTAATTCAAAATTAACAGTGACAGAAGCTAAATAAGCAGGTCTGTGTGATAGTACACAGATGTATGGGATGTTTGAACTGTGTATTATACATTATCTTTGAATGTTTTAGATGAATTATAAAATAATTATTTTTGTTCTGATAAAGTAAATAGCTTCTCTTTGCTGTGGGTCTCAGAAAGATGTTGTGATGTAATTTTTAATTTCTGCACTAAAAGTATATTAAATCTCTAATAGTGGTTCATGTCTGATACAGTTTCATCTTTAATGTTGTAAGTAAAAATGTAATTTTTTACCTACTTTCAGGTTTGGACTCAGTAACAAATTCGAGTCAGAATTTCCTTCAGCACTTACAGGAAAGGTGAGTGTGTTGTTTTTATTGAAAGCAAACCATGACTGTGGGATTTAGATCAGAATCAACGTGTAGTAAATTTAAATTAATTTCTTTCCTCTTTTTTTTTCTTTTTTTTTTTTTGTACGAAATACAGATATTTGATCCACATTTAATGGTGCTAAAAGTGTGAATATACATACTTTTAATAATAAAAGTAATACTGTGTGCTTCCCTTAGGTGGCACCAGAGGAATTCAAAGCCAGTATCAATCGTGTGAACAGCTGCCTAAGAAAGACGCTCCCGGTGAATGTGCGGTGGCTTCTGTGTGGTTGTCTTTGCTGCTGTTGCACACTGGGCTTCAGTTTGTGGCCCGTCATCTGCCTCAGCAAAAGGGTGAGATGCCCATTCACTTCGTCCCACAGTTAGAAAATGTTACGCATTTGTTGCAGCATCACAGTGAACACAACAAAAAATGTTGTGCCCTAAGTTGATATGAGGCCGTTTTTTCACAACAGTATCATCTAATATCTTTTTCCAGACAAGAAGATCTATAGAGAAACTTTTGGAGTGGGAAAACAGCAGACTTTACCACAAGGTAAGCAATGAAGGCATCATTTGAAATGTGTGGGTTGATGAAACTTATCTAATCTTCTATAATCACTGTTTCTGTGTAGTTGTGTTTGCATTGGAGACTAAGCAAAAGGAAGTGTGAAACCAACAACATGATGGAATATGTAAGTATTAGCTCTTTTCAGTGGTGCAATTATCCCAGTACAGTTAATGAAAGTATACTAGGTGTTACACCCACTACCAGATTGCGTTAAAAAGCTGCTGTTTTAACTCAAAAGGTACTATTTTAGATGATAAATTGTGCCGAGGGTTGGTTTGTGGTTGTTCATGTAGTTACAGGTTTATCGCTGCACCATGGAAAAGTATCATATCTCCAACCTTTTTGAGCGCAGATGTTAAGAAGTTATTGTATCTGCAGTGTATGCTTGCATGACTTTGATCGATTAGTGTAGCGCATAGTGGCTCAGTTAGTCCAAAAGAAAGGGGTAAAAAAAATATTACAAATTAGTTTAACCTACTAGTATTAGCGTTTCTTATTACTAACATTAGCAATTTTGTGTCATGGTGTCTGGGCTTTTATATACAGATGTTGTTTATCCAGCCAGCTTTCAGCTACTTCATCCGATTCTGTGCCAGTTTAATTGTGTTTAGAAGAGGCTGACATGCTCCTCTAAATATAAACGCAGCATATTGATTCTTGTAAAGATACACAAAATGTAATATTCTGTGGTTGTTATCTGTTAATATATCTGGCTTCCTCATAATGCTAACACAATAGCCATTTATCCATCAGCCAGTTCCTCTTTTTCATAGTTTTGCGTATAGCCACGGTCAGCCTGCTTTTTTTGTTTTTTTGTTTTTTTTGTATTTCAGAAAAAGTAACTTTAGCACGATCTGCTTAGTTAAGTTGGTACTCAGAAGTAAACAAATAGGCTTGCACAGGTTTGCATCTGTGACCCAGTTAGATGTGAGATGGTGGCTGCTTTGATATAAACGCTGTGGCCAAACCTCTCCAAGTGAAGTGAGTTTTTTTCCATCAGTACCTACTCGGGTCGGCTCAGCACAGCCTGACATGGTTATTAGGGTTTTTCATTAGATGATAGTACCTGTTACCGGGTACTTTTAAAAGTACCTGTTACACAGAAACAACATCGTGGTGCCCGTGTCTAATGAAAAGCCACAGACAGAGCAGCAGGTACGTGTCAAGTCGATCCAAGGAGGTACTAATTGGGGGGGCTTAAATCTTGTTGAAACATCCCTGACTCACTACTGAGAGCCTTTTGTTCTATTCCCTGCAGGTAATCCTAATAGAATTCCTACCTAAGGTCCCGATCTTCAGACCGGACTAGCCTGACTACAGCTGATCTGAAACTTCTTCTGCTGCCTGCCGCTGTCACAGAATCACGATGGCTGTAAAGTTCCCAAATTATTACAGTTCCTTAAATACTCCAGCATTTATGTTGACATTTATTCTCCCTGTTTTCTCTTGGATCCATTCCCTATAACATATCTACAGCCTTGTTTACAAATCCAGCAGCCCCATACTTTTTTTTGGGGGGGGGGGTGACATCACCATTGAACCTTGGCCAGCTGGGTAAACCTATATCAGCCTATGGGATGTGAGGGGAGAACCAGCCGTGGACAATTTTCTTGATCTTTGGAACTATACCTGGAGACTAGACTCTCACATTGAGTTCTGGAAGCCACGACTGGAAATTTGTCATTTTTATGTTTCCTAACCGAAGCACATGGCACAGACAGACCATGATTAAAAAATATATCAATCAATAAAACACTTTCATATGTTACACCACCAACTTC